GCACCAGTCGTGTCGGGCGGGCGGGGTCGAGCGGGCGGGCTCTGCTGTTGTCGGGCCGGGCGAAAGGGGGGGATTGGGAAAGGGGGGGTTACGAAATTTGCTGCATGCAGCTGGTTTCGGCCTCACCGAGGGGCCCATTCCTCGATACATGGGCGCCTCCTGGCGCTGGGAGGCGCCGGGAAAATCAGCTACGTGAGCTGATTCTCAAACCCCCCCTTTGCTATCCCCCCCTTTCGCCCGACCCGATGGTAGTCCCCAGACGTGGTGGTGAGAACACCCGGTGGTGAGTCTGGGCCAATTTGGTGTCACCACCTGGTTTGGGGACTCGCGTGGTTTGTCGAGGATGTCCCGAGCGCCGGCGGGCCCCGGGGTCACAACACCCGTTGCTGACCCCGTGCCCCCAAACCCGGCGGTGACTTTATAGGATTCTAGGTCGCCACCTCACCACTTGGTTTGGGGAGTACCAGTGCTGGGGCGGGTGGCGTCGGTCGGGCGGGCTGGACATGAATCGCAGCGCATCCTCGAGTCATTACGCGCATACCTTGACGAGCGGGTCGGGTCGGGCGGACGAGCCCTGACGGGCAGGTCTGGCCAGGCGAGTGGGGCATCAGAGCGCGGCGCATCATCGAGATATTTCGCATGCGCCCTGACAGGCGGGTCGGGTCAGGCGGGTGGATTCTCAAAGCAGGCGGGTTGGGCCGGGCGGGTGGGTCGGGTTGGGCGGGCGTCTTCTCATCTTTTCTCCCTCCTACTCTCGCTCTCCTCGTGCTTCTCCATCCCAATCTCTTCATCTCTTCTCTAAGCGATTCGAACTTGGTATCCTTCCCGCTCCTCCTCCGCCTCGGGGAGCCGCGCTATCTTGCAGACCCCTTGGGAGCGGCAAGGAGGAGCATCGCCTGACGTTTCTCGCAGGCCGAGGCTCTGTGCCCTTGTTTCCCCCAGCCAGTATACGCGCGCTGTGCTGCTCAAGTTGTTCTTGCGAGTTTGCCACTCCGCCGCTACGCTGGGCGGCATCGGTCAGTGCCTCTGTCGTCACAAGGAACGCCCTTGATGCGTCGGTTGCGCGATCCACATGGGCCGACGCTTTGAAAAGTGGACAGTGCACATCATCGGTCGGAGGCTTGGGGCGTTGTTGACGCGGCGGTGATCCCAGCACGGGAGGTAAAAATCGAGCGCAGCCACTGGCATGCAAGCGTGAACAAATGTTTGTTGCGGATCACAGTTCAGAGGGGGAAAGTTGAGAGGGAAGACGGGCTCGCGATCACCGAGAGGTCCGCAAGCAGCGTATTTGTAAAACAGTGGCTGTGCCTGATACGTTTTTTCGTTGTTTCTTTGTTTCTCAGGAAGGTGCAGATGGGCGTCGAGGAGTTTGGGAAAAGAGAGATTCGAAAAGCTTACGCCGCATCATCCGACTCATGGATATGTAGTGGGGGTATGTGTGTGGCCTCGTGATGTATCATAGTGGCGTCTTGGGGAGCTGGGGGAGGGGACCCCAAGAGGGCCGCAGTCTTCTGTGCGCCTTGTGGGGTATATCGTGGATGTGTTGGAGCTTACCCAGGTTAATGGACCCGATGATTGTTGAAGGTGCAAGCAGTGGGAGAGCTGTCGGGGTCGGCCGAGTTGAGTTTTCGGAGTACTTTCGTTTACGCTTTCGGCCCCGTGGGCCGTCATGTTGGCGTTTCTGGGGCCGTTAAAGTCGCCGCGAGGGGATCTGCAGTGGACGCGCTTTGTATGTGAAAGCATCAGGAGATCGAGGGTCTTCTTGGACTACCGTCAAGTCTTCGGAGGGCTTCGCGTGAGATCTTCGAGTGATGCTAAAACGCGTGGGCGAACGACTCCCTTCGCGTCGTGAGGCGGCGGAGCGGTAAGAGCGGAACGCACGGTGCGCGCCCCAGAGGCACGAGCGCGCAGCTCTTGGAATAGGCGGGTTTTCGAGGGCGGGTCTTTGAGGAGAAACTGCTCTGATTGTAGTCTGTTTCGCCCGTCGTGGCCGAGGGATTGGGGTTGCGCTTCTTCGGGCGTTCCTGCAGCGTTTTCTGGGGTTGTTTCGAGGGTGCTAGCGGTTTTTCTCATCTTCGTTGCGGGGGCGGCTCGCACACGGAAAGCAGGACTCTTCGTCGGGCGCGAAAGAGCAGAAGAAAGAGCAAGTTAGCATCATCGAAAGAGGGAGCAGGCACGCGCGGCGCACGCAGATTGCGAGCACTTCGGGTTCACGGCGCGCAGTTGACGCGCGTATCAGTGCAGCTGCACGTGCAAAAGTTGCTGCGGCGACGTCACTTTCCCGCTCTGTGTTTTGAGTCGCGGGAGCGCATGCCGAGTGCAGTCCAGCATGCGGAGAACTACCGATTTCATGTGCATTGACTGGCGCCGTCGATCATTCCCATTCGTTCACAAAAGGGTGTGGCCCTTCGCCAGGGTATTTTGGATTTGCCCACACCTCCGCGGCCCACACATTGCCACATGCTCAGAATGATGTTTCCCTACCTAGGCTCTGCCTAGAGGATTCTTACTCTCTTAGCTTAAAGGGGCCGGGCAGTGGTCCCCGCCCCGGGCGGTTCCCCCGGTCCCCGCCCCGCGGTTCCCCCAGTTGCGCCCCCTTACCTTAGCTTTGCGTATTTCATCTTAGCTTAGCTTAGCTTAGCTTAGCTTCATCTTAGCTTCGCGTAGCTGTAGCTGTAGCTGTAGCTGTAGCTTAGCTTAGCTTAGCTTAGCTTAGCATAGCGCAGCATCGCATAGCGTAGCATAGCATAGCACAGCATAGCGCAGCATAGCACAGCATAGCATAGCATAGCATAGCGCAGCATAGCGTAGCATACCATAGCCTAGCATAACATAGCGCAGCCTAGCGTAGCATAGCATAGCGCAGCATAGCGCAGCATAGCATAGCATAGCATAGCATAGTATAGCATAGTGCAGCATAGCATAGCATAGCATACAATAGCATAGCATAGCAGCAAAGCAAAGGCAAAGCAACAGCAGCAACAGCAAAGCAAAGCACTAGCAACGCAAAGCAAAGCAAAGCAAAAGCAACAGCAAAGCAAAGGAAAGGCAAAGCAAACGCAATGTGCAACAGTACGATCAGAGAGCCCACCCGGTGAGCGAATGCAAAAACATGCGTGTGTGTGTGCGTGCGAAGGAAAAGCAAAAGCAAAACCAAGCAAAAGCAAAAACAAGCAAAAGCAAAGGCAACTACGACGATGAGGAGAAGGAGGAGGACGGCGTTTACCGTTACTACTAATGCTGTTTCCTAGGGGCTCCAATTCCTAGGTAGGGTCGCACTGGGGTAATTTGAGGTAATTTGGTCTCCAAGACTCCGCACCCCAGATACGGTCTTGGATCGGATGCGGATCACAATTCCAGCAGCGTCTGTTACCACCGTATTCCGGTTGTTGCAGCACCAGCAGCAGCAGTAGCAGCGCGACCACCGCATGCAATTCTATTGGTAAGATCGCAGTTGAGTCTTACATAGCAGCAGTGGCTTGCGCTGGCAGCACAAGATAAGCCATGCAAATTCAGCACGGCAACTTGAGCCGCAAGGCCGCAAGGCTATCATACGGAACACCGATCCTACGAGCGCATATGCGAAACGCAGGCTCTGCGGTGCTCGCGCGCGCGCTGTGTTCACAGGCGTTGTGGTGTTCACAAGCGCTGTGGTGTTTTCCGGCTGTGTAGTGTGCACAGGCGATGTGGTATTCACAGGTGCTGTGGTGTTCGCAGGCGCCGTGTTCACAGGCGCTTTGGTGTTCACAGGCGCTGTGGTGTTCACGGACGTTGTGCTCTTCAAAATCACTGTGGTGCTCACAGGCGCGTCGCGTTGATCGGATCGCAAGCTTTTGTGGCGCTGGTCACAGGCACGTCGTGACTGTCGGGTCGCATCGATTGTTTTCGCAGGCGTACTGCGGTGCTTTACGGGCATGCTGCACCCCAGGTGCACCCCCGCCGTGACGTGACCGGCGCGGCCGAACCCCCCTTCCGGTCACGCCCGTGACTGGCCCGAATAAACTAACGGGTCCCAATGGTGTGCAGTACTCGTGGCATCGTTGCTGTGCAGCGCGCCCTCCCGCTCTGATCCTTTTCATCTCGTTTCCTTTTCCCAGTTTGGGCTTCAAGCTTCTTGCCCTCAATGCATGAATGAGTAAATCGAAGGTTGGGGGGTGAGATCGCAGTGGAACTGAAAGCCCCCCACCGGGAAATCTCTTTCGGGTTCGTGTTCGTGTGGTGCGTGTGGGCGAGGCGAAGCTGCGTGGGCGCGCGAGAGGAATGACCCCGCCGTCGCTAGGGCGATTCGGATGCAGTGGACCGCCCTCTGCCCCTGGTGGGCGCGCGGTGGCCCGGGGTGTCCCGTCGTGGTGTCCCGTTCCGATAGTGCAGTCGATAGTGAGATCGATCATGATATCGTTCCAATGGGATGGATAATGAGATCAAAAATGAGATTGACAGTGAGGTTGATTGTGACAGTGGTTGTGAGATCGATAGTGGAATCGATAGTGAGATCGATAGAGAAATCGATCGTGAGATCGATTGAGATCGATAGGGATATCGAAAACGAGATCTATAGTGAGATCTCTAGTGAGATCGATCGTGGGATCTATAGTGAGATCGATCCAGGGTGATCGATCCTGTGAGGTCGATAGCGGGATCGATCGAGTGAGATCGAAAGCGGGGACGATAGTGACGTTACATCGTAGCGTAACATTGTCGTCACGCGTCGTCGCTAAGTCGACGGCGCGTCACCAGCATCGTCATCATCACACGCGTTACATTTGCCAGCAGTTGGTTCTTTCCCCCCCCCCCCCACCCCTCACCCCCCACCCCCCTTGCTCCCAATCACCCGAAGGGTGGCCGTTAGATGAATGAATGAAAGAATGAATGAATGAATGAACAAACGAACGAATGAACGAATGAGGAGGTGGAAGAGGATCAGGCGGAGAAGGAGGAGAAGGATCAGGCGGAGGAGGAGGAGGAGGAGGAGGCCTGGCTCCCGCCACCCGCTGCGACAGCCACCCACCGTGTTCGAGGGCACCGGCGAGGCGGCGGAGGACAGCAGGTCGAGGCCAGCCACGTGCCGCAGCTGCGGCAGCTGCAGCTCGTGCTCCGTCCCGCCATTCCCCTCCCAGGGCTCACTTCGACTCCTTCGTTTCGACTGTATCCGATTCCGATTCGGTTGTTTCGAAAAAGAAAAATCGCAATAAAAATTGGGGTCCAGCGCAGATCCAAGAAATCCGCGCGGAACGCCAACAGTTTATTTTTATGGCGGTGCTTCTTCTTCTATTGTCTTCGGATTCCGATTTGAACTTCGGTTTCAGTCAACGCATTCCTTCCACACCACCATCCCGCTGCTTCTCTTGCTCTCTTCCTTTTGCATTGCTTGACTGATCTGTTACTTTACAGCTGTTTGGCTCTAGGGAAACAGAAAAGGAGCGAGCCTGCGGCCGCGCGCGCGCGTCGGCCGGCGGGCCGGCCTCCTTCCTTCGGGGTTACCCTATTGCTAGCTTGGTGGTACACTCCTTCCTCTCCATGGCATCGGCGGAGCCCACTAAGCATGAGACATCATTGGAACACATTGCAGGGATTATGAATATCCAGGCGAAAAATGGGTTATCAGCCGTGAGTCTTTCCAGGAGCTCGTCTTCGGTGGTGCGGCCTTTTTCCCAACAGTCAGAGAGGTATCAATGGCGGCTTTACCAAAAAGGGGGCTTCGCAGGTGCGCTCTGATTATCCACGAGCGCCTGACGCAGGGGTCGGGTGGCTCACGCCCCTGGGCCGCAAGGAAAAGGTGGCAATCGCCCGGCTTAGCTGCGGTTGCCGGCGGTGTCACGAAAGAGGGGGCAGTTATTTCGTCCCTTCTTCGAAGGCCAGAACAGCAGGTTCTCAGAGCCTGGCTTGTCATCTTGCGGCAATTCTGGAGTGTACGAAGGAGTCCCAGAATACAGCCAGACACAGTGTATCTTTGCATTCAAAATGTACGCGTGGTGTTTTCGCACAGTCGGAAACAGAGGCGTCGTTCGTGACAGGGTCGGCCTGCCCCGCGTGGTTGGTTGTGGCAGGTCCTGAAGAGGATAGCCAACCAAACGCCGAAACGCTGGAGACGGACTGGACCAGGGGTCCCCGAAAGAGTGGGCGTACTCAGTCCTAGACTGGAAAGGGAACTACAAGAAGTTGCGCAGTCAACTGCTTCTCGGCGGCCCTGGTGGGGTTGTCCGTTGTCAGGCGAGCCTGAGGCGGGTGTACAAAGAACGCCCTGTATGTTGCACTAGTATGGATATGCTTGGCGAATGACTAATTGTTTCCTCCCTTCGTCGAAGGCCAGAACAGCAGGTTCCCAGAGCGTGGCTTGACATTTTCTGGCAATTTTGGTGTGTACGACGGAGTCCCAGACTACAGCCAGTGCATATTTGCATTCAAGAGGTACGCGTGGTGCACAGTCGGAAACAGAGGTGTCGTTCGTGACAGCGTCGGCCTGCCCCTTGTGGTTAGTTGTGGCAGGTCCTGAAGAGGATAGCCAACCAAACGCCGAAACGCTGGAGACGGAGTGGACCAGGGGTCCCGGAAAGACTGGGCATATTCAGTCCTAGACTAGAAGGGGAACCAAAAGAAGTTGCGCCGTCAACTGCGTCTCGGCGACCCTGGCGCGGTTGTCCGTTGTCAGGCGAGCCTGAGGCGGGTGTACGAAGAACGCCTTGTATGTTGCACTAATATGGATATGTTTGGCGAATGACTGGTTATCAGCCGAAACGACGGCTCAGTCGTTAGCTCCGCTGAGCATGGGATCGCAGGAAGGAGCGTTCGGATGATCAGAACGTCATCGCCGTTCTGGGCGCATTGATGAAGTAGGCGCCTTTGTGAGGCGACCTCTTTCTTTCAATCTTCCCAGGAGGCAAGCATTGGAATCTGTGTTCGATTTGACGGAAGGGGATTCCCCCGTTGACACACTGGCAACGACCAGAGCATAAACTCCTGGCGGAAGGTATGGCTCTGCCAAAACTTCCGTCGATAGGCCATCTGAAATTGCACCGGTGCCTCCAAGCCCTCAGACATTGATAGGGAATGTTCCCATAGAGATGCCAGGCGTAGAAAATCGTTGCACGGAACAAGAAGCAAAGTGTGTAATACATGGTCAGGGGGAGGATTTGGGCGACGTACAATCAGAGAAGGATAGTTCGCATTCAATTGAGACGAGTGGAGAACATGCTCAATTTCATACCTCGCCCGGCCCGTCACGCCGCCTTGATCCTCTCCCCGACGGGTCTGACGGGCTCGCCTCAGGCGTAGACCCGTCTGGGAATGAGACACTTGATTATGCAATGGTCGATGCACTTCGGAAGACCCTTCATGATGATGATGATAATGAGCTCGGGGATGAAGTAAGCCCCGACCGGGGCGAGAGTTCGTCGGCTCAGCCGACGTTGAGCTCACTAAGTATATCGCGTGCAATTCGGCATGCAAGAGAGCGGACTGGCACCGCCCCGCCCCCACAGACAAAGAGGTCTAGGAGTGAACGTGACGATCTTAATCCTTCGCCCTTGCCGCAAGGTTTCTACCGACCAGACTTCGCGCTGCCGAGGTCCAACAGAGACAGGGCGCCAGAGCCTGATGGGCTTGCGACGCAGGGCGAAAGAGACGAGCAAGCCCAGAGTCAAGATGCCACTTTTACTAACAAGGGTGTAAGACCGAGGGGTCAGGGCGCACCTGCCTCTAGCAGGGGACGCGTGAAGGTCATGAGAGCTGGGCGTTCCAGTTCCAGAGGATTCGATACCCTTGGGCCACCTCGCCCATCGTCGAAGAGGACCACCAATAATTTCTCGACGCGGGAAAGTTGCCGGAATGCCGGGCCCAGGTGCCCGCCTCGGGCGGAGAAGTGGTGCCCGGGGAAAGCGCGCGAACCGGGGGGCTCGTGTCGAAGACCTGTGTGTGCGCAAGGTTCGAATGTGTGCTCTAAATGCAGTCTTGCCTGGCTCTGTGAAGAATGAAAAAGCTGGGGGGGCATAATTTCCCGCTGCGTCGCCATCCAGGAATGGGAGGAGAAACGGCGGCAAGATCGAGAGCCGTTGGGAGCTGCAAGTGCACAAGTGCAGCATATTATTCTTGAGGCACGGGTGGATAAGAGGGCCGCTGAAGAAGCCGAACGCAGGCTCGCATAATCCGATGGCACAGAAGGCTGAACGAGAGAACATCGCCATAGATGCGCAGAAACGGATACTGCAAGCAGAGGCGAATTCAGCAGGGGTTACAGACGTAGCTCAGCTGCGTCTTGCGCAAGAGGAGGATGAAAGAGGAAGGCGAGGCTGACATGCATGCGCTGTTACATCCTGCTGGGCCGGCAGAGGATCTATCTACAGACGCAGGCTCCAGGAGTGACAACGCCGCTCCAGATGATGAGGAAGCATGGTGGAAACAGACCTCGCTTGGTGGGGCCATTCTACGGGGCGGGGTATCTCCCGACTCAGCCGGTCTGGACTTTGATCTTCCTGGTTTGCCGGGGGTTCTTAGAGGGGGCGGCCTGACTTCGAGTCCGGCGACCGCCGCTTCGCGACGTAGCGTGCCCCGAACGCCGCTGCAAGCAGCCGCGCTGCCCCTTCCCGACCATCGGGAGAAGGAGAGACTCGACGTGTAGTATTTCTATAACCCGTGTACTGATGACGTTCAGATTGTTGAAGAAACATGCCATGTTCCCGATGAGTTGCGTCAGTCGCGGATCGTTGCTGCCGTTGCTCGCTCCGTGTCCAAGGCTGAAGCACTCGTCCACCAAGATGCCCGTGAGGCCCTTCGGGCAGAATGGGATCGGCTACGCAGCGTCGGCACTTGGGATGAATCAAGTGCAATGGAACACAACGATGTGATCCGACAGAGAAAAAGGACAAACGACCCACTTTGGACGTTTGTTAGCAATTTTAGTTGAGGAGAATTCCGGGCTCCCGATGGGGCACAAAGACCGCGCATATAAAGGTAGGGTCGTGTTTGATGGGTCGGATGTCAAAGGTCAACATAAGGAAGTTGCCTTGCGCCAGAAGCTTTCTAACAGTCCAGCGACGATGCAGGCGAGCAAAGCAGCAGACGCATGCGGCCTTGCGGCCTATTTGAAGTGCGTGACACTCAGCAGGCTGATGCCAAGCAGGCCTACGCCCAATCTAAGCTAGGTGGCACCCCGACGTGGATTTTCTTACCGCGTGACAAATGGCCGCCCGCTGGGAAAAAAACATGCGAAACCCCGTGTGCCCTCTAATTCTATCGCTCTACGGGCGCCCCGATCATGGTGGGTGCTGGGGGCAGCGTTGCGAGGGGCGCGTTGTATCGAAAGGTTTCATAAATTGTAGCCCCTCGCGCAGTTGTTACTTTTACTTGAAATTGTGCCCGTTTCTTATCATTTATGTTGATGATTTTAAATTCGCTGGACCAAAAGAAAGTCTTGACCAGGGATGGCGACTCTTGCAGGAAGCCTCAGAAGGCTGCCCCAAAGGTATAGAAATCGACCCACCAACAAATGTCGACCGTTATTTAGGATGTGAACATCGTTCCATCGCGTGCCCGTCCGCGCAGTATGCAGAAAGGCAAGGGGAACTACCGACGGTGCGTGACCCTCTGCCACCCGAGGTCAAGAAATCGTCTGCCTCTGGACAACAAGCGGAGAGCGATGGCGAGAATGCGGGGGGTGACTCATCCGCGCAGCCGAGCGGGCCCTATCAGCCTAAACCGCCTAGGATGGTCAGAGCCACTGAATAAGATGTGACTGAATTCTTTGAATCATGTATTACATTGCATGCGCAATTAACGGATACTGACCCCGCAACATATCCTGCTGCTGGCACACCTTTTGGCCCCGAGTTGACCGAATTCGAAGACGGACAGGGGGGCCCAAGATAAGAAAAATACCCCTCAGCAGGAGAAGCAATAGCTAACGCACTGAGGATCAACGTCGACTCCGGTCCTGCGAACAAGCCAGTCGAGGTTCCAGGCATAGCCGCGGAACCTGGGCCAGGCGATCCTGAGCCACCGACTTCGTCGGGGGTGCTCCAGCCGATTTTTTTTTTTGTTTAATATATATATATATATATA